ATATGGAAGCAGCCCAAGGGCCCATCAGGAGATGAGTGGATAAAACAACTATGAGATATTTACACAATGGAATACTACTTGGCTATAAAAGAGAAGAAATTTTACCCTTTGAGACAGTATGGATGGACCTGGAGAACACTGTGCTAAGTGAGAAATCAAGATGGTGGGGGAATAAATGGAAGTCACACTGACCTCTTCCCAGGACCAATATGAAATTGCAATTAAATTGTGGAGAAATCACCTGGAATAAACAACTGAATAATAGTGAGAGAGGAGCCTTATAACCTCGGACAGAAATAAAAATCAGTTTTAGCACAACCAAAATGGTGAGGAGTGCGGAAGAGACTCAAGAAGGTGGGCAGGGTGCCCACAGGCGGAAGCACCAGAAGGCTATTGAAATGGCCAGTTGGATCACCCTGAGAAAAACAGGGTCTAAACTATAAGCAGGGATCTTCAGCCTATAGCACCAGAGCCCAAAAAGTACAAAAATGACAACCAGCTGTGAAAAGAGGCAGGTTTGCTCTCTGTAAGAGACAGTAGCTGAAAACACAAAGAGCCTTTTAAAGGATAAATGCATAAGATTTTATTTGCAGCCACTTACCCTGGGCTCTGGCAAAGGTGGGGGCAGACTGGGCTAGAGACACCTGAGGAGAGACTGGGGAAGGAAACAATAGCGCCACCCCCAGAAGGGACTCTGCCCTGGCTCAGTGTTGCTAAAGCCTGACTGCTGAGTATAGAGTGGCAGCCACAGAGAGTAGATCCCTGGCTAAAGGGGGCATCAGAGTGTTCAAAGAGGTCTTGAGGACAGACTGGAGATGGAGGCTTTGGAGAGAGATCTGAAGGAGTGGCTGGTGGGATCCCAGTGCTGACTGCTCCCCCATACGGCAGCAGCCACCTGGCTTAGGCAGACCACTCCCCTGAGCGGCAGCAGTGGTAGAGGACCCAATAACCCCACCCCAAGGAGGAACTCTGCCCCTCCCTGTGGTGTCTAAGTCAACCTGCTGAGTGCAGGGTGACTAGATTAACTGCTGAAGGAGACAGCCACAGACAGGAGATTCCTGGAAGTCTTGAACACACTGCCTAAGGTCAGACAGAGTCAACAGCAGACATCAACTGAGGCAGATCCAGAAAGAAAAAACAGTGGTCTCCTACCATAGAAGTTCACACCACAAAGTCAGGAAATCAAGACAGATCAATTTAAGAAGCAAAAGCAAAAAGAAGAGCCTCACAAATAATGGGAAGACAAAGAAACATCTCCAACTCAAAGGGAAAGAAATCTCCAGTGAGATAAATAAAACAGAAGCAAGTATATCATCAGATAATGAGTTCAAAACAATGGTTCTAAGAAAGCTCAATGAACTGAGTGAGCTCAGAGAGAATTACAAAAAACTACAGGGGAAACTAGGATGAACTTACTGCAAACTATATCAGCATGAAAAAGGACATGGAAACTATCAATAAGACACAGGAGGAAATGAAGAATACAGTTTCTGAATTGGAGAACACAGTAGAAGGAATCAAAAGCTAGATGAAGGAGAGGAATGAATCAGTGAGCTAGAGGATAAGGTAGAAAAAAGCTCCCAGAAAGAGCAAGAAAATGAAAAAAGACTCACAAAGAATGAAGAGGCATTGAGGGAAATGCAGGGCAACCTGAAACGTAATAATATCCATATAATCGGGATACCAGAAGAAGAAGAGGATGAGGAAGGGATAGAGGACCTGTTTGAAAAAGTCATGATGGAAAACTTCCCTAATTAGAGGAGAGAAAAAGTCACACAAGTCCAGGAAGGACAGAAGGTCCCATTCAAGTGGAACCCAATGAGGCCCACTCCAAGAGACATCATCATTAAAATGGCAAATAGCAAAGACAAACAGAATCTTAAAAGGCAGCAAGGGAGAAAGAGGTAGTAACATACAAGGGAGCCCCTCTACAGCTAGCAGCTTACTTCTCAATAGAAACACTACAAGCCAGAAGGGAATAGCAAGAAATATTCCAAGTCATGAAAAGCAAAGGTCTTCAACCAAGACTGCTATATCCAGCAAGACTCTCAATTAAAATGGAAGGCGAAATAAGGAGTTTCCCGGACAAAAGAAGGCTAAAAGAATATACCTCCACCAAACCACCAACTGCAAAATATGCTCAAGGGACTGCTTTAAGAAGATGAAGAAAAAGAGATTACGAATAGCCAGTTATTTTCACAGTCACCAATACTTGATATTACTAATATTTTTAATACTTAATCCGATTGTGACAATGATGTGTTATTTTAATTGTTACTTTATTATTTGTTGAAACCTGTTTTTGTGTACTTCTTGCTTATTTATATTATTTTTAAAAAGCTTTAAATGTCTCTTTGGTATTCTTCATCCATTTTTTGATTAAATGTTTGTAGAATTTTTTCCCCAAAAAATAAATCCAGAAAAAACTATTGACCCTTTTTCAGCTGTGTTGCAAGTACTTTCCTATTCTATTATTTGTCCTTTAACTTTTTTATAAGGATAGTGCTGCATAGTCTTCAATGTTTAATATAATCATATTGTTAATATTTTACTTTATATCTTCTAGGTCTGAATATTTCACTTCAGGGAAAAAAATATTTACTATTTTTTCAGAAAATTCCTTAGCCTTTAGATATTAATTTTTAACTCATCTGACTGTGTTGTATAATGTGTGAAATAGGGCTCTATATTTGTTTTATTTCAAGTAATAGTAGTCCATGCACCTTATTTGTTGAATAAGCCTTATTTTCCCGATTGATTTGAAATATCAATTGAGTCATATATTACATTGTTAGACAGATATATACATTTGTTTGTAGAATGCTCATTATATTTCATTGATCTACTTGATTATTTCTGTGCTGGTGTGATGTTTTAATTCTTGAGACTTTATAATCAGATTTACATTTTTTAATATTTTATAATGGATTTTGAAATTTAAAAACATAATTAAATAAAATAAATCTGCATTAAAAAAAAAAAGAAAGATCAACAGAACTCCTACCTTTTGCAACAGTATGGATGGAACTGGAGAATATTATACTAAGTGAAATAACCCAGTCAATGAAAGACAGATACCATATGATCTCACCTATAATTGGAATCTATTCAACAAAATAAACTAATGAACAAAATAACCCACTGGCATGGAAACATGGAGCAGACTGAAAGTGACCAGAGGGGATGGGAAAGAAGGACCATGGTGGAAGGATGGAGAAGGGACTAGACAAAAAACATGTATCAATGACCCATGGACACGGACCGTTCCCAGAGTGGGAATTGACTAGGGAAGTGGAGGGCAGGGTGAGATGGTGGAAGAGGACAATGGAGGGAAAACTGAGACAACTGTAATAGAATAAATATGATTTATACATAAAAAAAGAATATTATGATAAGTGAAATAAGCCAGTTAGAGAAAGACAAATACGATATGATTTCACTCACATGTGGAATCTAATGAACAAACAATTAACAAGGAAAATGTGAACAGACTCATAGATGAAGAGCAGGATGACAGCTAATGGGGGGAAGGGGAAGGTATGGAGTGACTGAGCAAAAAAGGAAAAAGGACTCATGGACATGGACAACAGTGTGGTGATTGCTGGGTGGAGGAGAGTATAATGGGACTAAATATTAATGGAAAAAATACAATAAAGATTAAATTAAAAAATAGATTAGAAGATGGCTTTGATGATTGTGTATTAATTTTCGAAGCAGTAGAAATTACAGAACAGAGAAAGTTTGCTAGACACTACACATTTAAATATTCAATCTTTCAGTTTTTATCTTGATTAGAAAATATTGGGACTATAGACATAACAAAGTAAAGACATGACGAAAATCTACCTTTACTAGGGTGAGTATTGCCAGAGGTGAGAAGATGGAGATAAAGAAGAAAATCAATGGGATCAGAAACATCTGAAAATTACTGTAATTAAATTTCAGACACTGTGATGCCAGCATGCATAGAGTTTGGAAAAATAATAAAATCTTCCCTCAATATACTAATATGCCTAACTCATTTTCATATAACAAAATACAGATGACAACAGAAGGTTCATACATTTGTAGTAATTAGAAAGATTTTTTTCATAATCAGTGAAAGCAGAATTTAATTGAATGATGCAAAGTTAGAATTTAAATAACAAATTCAGTATGAAAGACAAGTGATCTAATGCCATGAATCCCTATTAACAAGGCTTAAACTATGGAATGTCTTCATTCTGCAGAAGATTCAGGTAAAAGAGCCTTCCATTTTTTGTTGTTTCAAGAAGTTTTTGTTTTATTGTTTTTTTGACAACAATCTCTGTGGAGCAGAAAACATTGGGAAACCAGGAAAGGAACGCTACCTTTTTTGTTCATCTGATCTCACTGTGACATTGTGGTGAAATATCTTATAAAGTAAGAGCCTGATACAGAACACAAGGATCTGTAAGAAACTGGTCAATTTTAATGTTTGTAGCTTATAAATAGGAGGACTGAATATATGTGCATTTATAACCTCTTTGGTCCACTTTACACTGTGATTACTTTAAAAATACAAGTGAGAACATTCAAATTTGTTACTTTGCCCTAAAATCTAATGGACAGACTGAGCATATTCAAGACATATGGAGTATATTTTGCCCTATGTCCTGGCTTCTGTAGCTGTATTTCTTCAGAGAATAGATTAGAAAGGCATTTAAGCTCATTAGATAGAAAGATGTCATCCCCTCACATCAAAGTACATGAGGAAAAAAGTTCAAGAATTACAAATTTTTATAAAACATTAAAAAAAAAACCCTTTTGGCCCTGGCAAGGAAAATGTCAACAAGTCAAAAGAAACTAAATGGCTATTGACCAGTTTCATGAAGGCAAAGCTGCAAGCCAAGACGGCATAATGCTTTCCTACCATGAGGGTAAGGCACAAATGACACTAATCCTTTTTAATGGTCACAAAAGCTGACAACTTACTCAGACTTAGAACTGAAGGCACCAAATCATCTCTGGGAATGACTCACCATAAATAGGTCACGAGCACCAATATCAACAGCTAACAGAAATGCCTTCTCAAATCTCTGGTACCTGTAAGGAAGATATGTTATCTATTAGTGCAAACAAAACAACATAAAAGCAGACAGCTGTTTGTTTAATGTATTTATGTGTCATTGTTTTTGGTCTTCTGATGGCAAAAATATTTTCAGACAGTGGAGCCTTTGTCTACTGGGCTATTCTGAATGTGAAATATTACTGTACCTAGGAGGAGCTGAGCACAGTGCCCATGGAGGCCCTTCAGTACCACTTACCAGGAGCAGCATAACCCAGAGTAGAACAGATAACTTAGGAAATATATTTTTTAAAACTTTTCCCTTTATTGTGCTTTGTAAGAGAAAAGTATGGGGACTTGGAGACCACAGCAAGATAAGATTAACAAATTAAAAGTTGAGAAAAGTATAGTTAAAAGTTGAGAAACCAAATGTTGCATTACAAAAGTCTCATTTGTGAGTTTTTAACAAAATTAATCTTAGACTGTTGTAAAATGACAATGTAAGTGGTTTCTAAATATTTTTTAAAATAATACTTTTCTACTTTTTTTCCAATCATTTTCTTTCCCTAAAGTAAAATGTTGAGAATTTTTTTTGTGCAAGCTTAATTTGAGGCTAAGATAGATGAGAACCAACTGCAGTTTAAATTAGTTACCTTTATAAAAAGTTTAACATCTTGAGAGAAAAGTATGTCATGAATATACAGTTAATCGCTGAACTCAGGGTTAGGGATACCAAGCCCTACAGAGTCAAAAATCCACCTTAATTTTGACTTCCCCAAAACTTAACTACAGTTGGCTCTTGGTATCCATAGGAGGATTGGTCCCAGAGGCACTTGCAGATGCCAAAATCTATGGGTTCTCATGTCCCGTTTTTAAAATGGTGTAATACATATAGTCAGCCATGCACATCTGCAGATTCCCAACCATGGAAGAAAACATTATTTTCAATCAGCATTTTGTTAAATCTGAGGATGTGACCCCTGTGGAGGACCCACTGTATTTATTGAAAAAAAAAAAATCTGCATGTAAGTGGACCCCTGTGGTTCAAAGCTCTGTTGTTTGCGGGTCAACTTTGCATAGGGTTTTGGAAGGAAAGATCATCTTTATTTTGTCTGAATGCTGAGATTTACATAGGTATAACTGTCAGTTTTTCTGACTCTAGAAACAAGCAGGTAAATTATCAAGTTATTCTGTTCTCTTTATTTTATGAATTGTGGTGGAACAAAAATATCAGATTTCAAATAAAACAAATCAGAAATATGGAATATTAGTTAACAGGTTATATAAATTTTATTAGATAAACAGCTAAAATAATTAAAATTCAAGCAAACAAGGCTCATTCTTATAACATATAAGCTGGTAGGTGTAGAACCTGAACCACTTACTTCACAGTTTCCATGTTATGTTTGATGACTGTTTTTTCCTCCTTGGCCCTTCTTACTAGCATTTCTGGTACTAACCTGAATCCCTTTCAACTATGGAAGATCAGAAGGCAATTGTGTTTATCTTTGTTCCTGGAAGCCCCTGGTTCCTTATATATTCAGTGGAGATGGAATGTAATAAGGAAGAGGACAGAGAATTAGCCAGTTCTGCTACTTTTCCACACATTTATTGCCATTTTGTGTTTGTTTATATTCCAGTGAAAATTTCCTGGCAATAGTCCGTCTTCTTCTGATGATCAAAATTAAGGATAAATCCTTATCTTCTGTGTCCTTTGGCCACATCTGACTCTATAAACTTTTCCTCCTTGAAAGCATCACTTTCCTGCATTTGGAAGTGCTATTCTTTTCTCATTTCTTAGATTTCATCTTCTTAGTCCCTTTCCTAGTTCATTTTTCTCTGCCTGCTCCATGAAGTTGGCATACCCTAGCCCTCTTTTATTTATGTTCACTCAATCCAGTCTCCCAGTACCTCAGCCACTCCCACTGGTAATCACATCAATGACTCATAACTCTATAGGATCCACATCTCTCCTGAACTACACACTCTTGTTACCAGGTACCTCAAACAGGACTAACAGGTCCACTGATACATCAATTTGGCTACCATATATATGATAAATTGAAATTTGACAGTGAAATTAAGGGGAGAAAGTTAGGATATACTCTTCTTTCTAGGTGAGCAGTGACCATGAACATAATGATAAAATGAAAGAGCTGGCATTGGTATCTGGCAGCATGGTCAGCCAGCAATACCAAAGGGAGATCCCGACTGCACTGCTATAAAATATATGTTAAAGTATATCACAGGACTCTTAAAAAAAAGAAAAGAAAAAAAAGGGAAATCTCCAGAGATACCACACTATCAATCAAAAAATAACCAAACAAAATCCCTCGACTGACACTTGAGTAAGGATCCCTGGGCTGAGAACAAAAGCGGGTGAGTGGGAAGGAAGACAGAACTACTCCAAGGAGATTGGATCTTGAACAAGTTTCAAAGTAAAGGTGCTAAGCCTGAGATTTGTGATTAAGCCAGGGGCAAAAATGGTCCCAGGTCATTAGTGCCTCTACCTCTGGCAGAAACAATTTAAAAAATTATGTCTAGGTTAAAGTAGATTTGACAGAAGCCCCCAGGATTACTATAAATTAAAATAGAAAAATATAAGTTCACAAAGATCATGAAATACACAAGGAAACAAGCTACTCTAACATAAAATTAGACAATAAACAACAGTGTTATATCTCCATGGATTTCAGATCATTGAATTATTAAAGTTAGAATATAAAATAATTCATTATAAGATATTTATACTGCAAATAAACATGCAAGAAGATACAGTAAAAAATTATCAGGTAGACTTTTCAAACAATAAAATAAAATTTTTAGAAATTAAAATTTTAATTACTGGAGTTAAATAACTTGGCACATTTGAGAGAATTAGTGAACTAAAAGATACACAAATAAGAGATTACAAACAACGTTGCACAGAGATAAAAGATAAAAAAATATAAAGAGGTTAAACAAGATAGAGGAGATGAAAAGGTTTAACATATCTAATCAGGGAATTAAGTTAATGGCTGAGATGATATGAATCCATAAACACAACAGGAACAATGCATATCAAGCAGGATAAATTTAAAGAAACATATAATTATGCACATTTGTAATGGAAATGCAGAACTCCAAAAATAAAAAGATCTTAAAAACTGCCAGGGAGAAGACAGGTCACCTACAAAGAAATTCCAAATAGACTGACACCAGACCCCTTAATGGCAACACTGAAAGGTAGAAGACAGTAGGAAAATATCTTCAAATTATGGAGAGAAAATAAGCATCAATACTGTATGAGGTAACAGTGGACTTCTCTTACAATATGAAAGTAAAATAAAGACCCTTTCAGATATACAAAAACTGAGTGTATTTAACAAATCTTTAATAAAGAGACTACTAGGGGACATATCTCAGGAAAAAGGAAAATGACCTCAGAAGGAAAGTCTGAGAAGCAACAGTTTTTAAAAAAGGGATTTGGTTAAAATACAGGTAGATAAATAGGCATACACACACATCTTTTGATGTATTTTAAGATCTGAAAATATTTATTAGCAATATCATATAAATCAGAGGGTATTTAAAGTGCTATGGTCCTTGCTTTTTTGTACTGTTGAAAATATTATTTAATGTTTGAATTTGGTTACTATGGATATCAAATTTCAATGTTAAATGGTTTTCAGGATATGGAAATACAACAATTAGTTTGTCCATCACTAGTTGATGGTCACATGGAATGTTTTCCAGTTGGCCCTATTATGAATAAAGCTGCTATGAATATTCATATATAAGTTGTTACACATAAGTGTTTTCATTTCTCCTGGGAAAAAATAAACATAATATTACAATTGCTGGGTCATATGGTAAGTATACGTTTAACATATAGGGAGGAAAAAGATGGCGGAGGAGTGAATGGGAGTCACATGGACCTCCTCCCAAGACCAAAACGGAATTGTGACTAAATAATGGAGAAATCGCCTGGAAAACAATGGAATGATAGAGGGAGAGGAGCCTTGGAGCTGTGGACAGACAGTGGATTCGACTCTCACACATCCCAACGGGTGAGAAGTGCGGTGGAGGCTCGAGAGGGTGGGCTGGGCGCCCACAGGCACCAGCACCAGAGTGACATTGAAACGGCCAGTTGGATCCCCCTGAGAAGACCAGGGTCTGAACCATAAACAGGAACCCCTAGACTACAGCAGCTGAAACCAGGAAAACGCACATACAAAATGCAAACCCGAAAAGCTTAGGGGCTCTCTCTGCCAGAGACAGGCGGCTAGAGGTGCAAAGAGACATTTAAAGGGCGAACACAAAACTTTGCAGTGGCAGGTGCCTTCCTTGATCTCTGGGGAGAGGCAGCAGCAGAGAGAGATGGTGCCTGCGGAAAGATTGGTGAGGAAAATTTTGTGAAGAGAACTGAGACGGTGGCCAGCAGAGCCCCAGTGATAATGTACCTCCCACTCTGCAGCTACCATCTCGCTCAGGCATAAGGGAATCAATTAACCAGCCTTTTGGGCAATCCGCACACAGCGAGTGGGCTGGGGGCTGAGTGCAGACTGGCTGGAAGAAATAGAGGATCCCTGGCCGAAGGGGACACACAGCTGCATAGAGACCCTTGAGGAGAGACTGGTGACAGAGGGATTGGGGAAAGAACTGGAGGATTATCTGAGATCCCCGGAGCAGACTACCTCCCCATTCCGTAGTCTCCATTTGGGCAGGCAAGCCTGGCCCCCAAAGAGGTAGAAGTGGGCACGGGAGCTGGAAGTTGCGCAATTACAACATGGTCCACCGAAATAGTGGATCCCAAAGGGGTCACAGAGCTGCCCAGAGATCCTTGGGGAGAGATTGGAGACAGGACTAACTAGAGAGTTCTGGAGCTGACTCCTTCCCTTTCCGAAGTCTCCATTTTGTGCAGGCAGGCCATGCCCCCAAAAAGCCAAAAGCAAGAAAGCACACAATAGAAGGTCCTAAACTGACCAGTGCTGGCGAGCCTGCGTGGTCCAGTGAGGGTGCCTGCCTGGGCCTGTGCACAGGCGTGCCCGGACCAGCT